TGTTAAAGAATGGGCCTTGGCCCCATAACTTTAAAGTAATAGCCCCATTATGGAGAGGGTGGTGATTTTTTAACTGTTCTTCACGCTTACGTTGCCAGGTTGAGGGGTTTTCCAGGAAGGTTGGGCATCTCAGTAAAAGCTTTTCCAGCAGCCATTTAACCTCCATTTACGAAGAAATAAAGCAAAATTGATGCTGATTTGGGCCTGCTTTGGGGGATATTTCTGTTCCATAAAAGCCCTTTTGCCTGCAATTTGCTGAGCTGCCCTGTCACATCAGAAAGGGCTGCTGTTGATAAAGATAAAGCTTTATGGCCACGATATTTGCTGCTAACAGCAACCTAATGCAGCATTTTCATTTTTCTGCAATTAATGTTAATGTCTGCTACGAAAATTGTCATTAAATACCATTTTAAAATCCATTCAATTTGCATATGCAAAGCCCATTTACCATCACAGAAGATATAGCTGGCACTTTATCACGTCTTTTTGCTGGAATTGTGGCCACTCAGTTTTATAGCAATTTAAGATTTTATATTGAAAGCTGTACGATAATGGATGTCCTTTCTGAGCCCAGCTAACTGAAGCAGCACAATGGAAAACCACAGCCCTAGGACCAGAAACTGTGGGTGTTTATGCTGCACCTCAGTCCCAAGGAGGGAGGACACAGCGGGAGAGCCCTGCACGGGGCATCTGCCAGCCTGGCTCTAGGTATCATCTTGCTGTGTGACCTCGGGAGGCTCACTGCACCTCTCTGAACTTCCTTCTATCTTCTCCTTTTTAAATAAGGCCATTGAACCAGGTGATCATAATGCCTTGTGTGTTTTAATATTTTATATTTTAAATACGAGATGCACATTACCTTTTAATTCTACTTTTCCATGAACTTTTTAAAGTACCCTCGTATAGGCACACTGGGTTGAGAATCCAGGCCAAGCCCTGCCATGAAGTCATGTAAACTTGGGGAGGTCAATTAACCTCTCCCTGCCTCAGCTGGATCGTAATCCTACCTATCTCCTGCACAGGGTTTTAATGACAATGAAATGAAATTGGCATGAAAGTTTATAGCCAAGCTGGAGAGACAGAACATACTCTGAGAATCACAGAATGCCAGGTTACTAGTGTAACCCCCCATTTACAAAGGAGGAAAGATAATCCTGGGGGAAAGTGACATGGAGAGTTGGGGATAAAACTGGAACTAGCATCCCAGGTGACTCCTGGCCTAGGGCTCTTCCCCCATCACCACCCTGTCTTTGAGACACTTGGTGTCCAGCACGGCCTGATACAGTGATCTAGTGTGCAGCATGTGAACTCTGTTCTTCTCTGCCCTGGGCAGTCTGCTAGGATGGGGCAAGGAGGGTACACGGGCCAAGGCCCTGCAGAAGAGGAGCAAATCCAACAGCGATAGTCACGGAGATGCCTTAAAGGGACTGACTTGGGGAACTATTTCAAAGGTGAGGGAAGGATGGTGTCCAGATGATTAGTTAATCCAGCCCAGAAGCAACTTTCCAATGTGTCTCTAGTGGTACCTTCCAGGTTTTAAGGGCTGGTGAATAGACATGCATTTCTGGTTGAGAGAGGTGAACCTGGTATTGGCCATGGGAGGTGGGAAAGCTTTCCAAAGAGATAATGCTGAGCTGCACTTTGCAAAATGAGTAGTTTGACCAGGTAGGATGGTGAGAAAAGGCAGAGGGAGAAGCATAAAAAAGTATGGTAGGTCCCCAAAAAATTAAACGTGGAATTACCATATGATCCAGCAATTTCCATTCTGGATGTATGCCCCAAAGAACTGAAAGCAGGGACTCGAACAGATATTTGTACGCCGTGTTCATAGCAGCATTATTCATAATAACCAAAATGTGCAATCAACCCAAATGTTTATCCATGGATGAGTGGATAAACAAAATGTGATATACACACAATGTGATATACACACAATGGAATATCATTCAGACTTAAAAAGGAATGAAATTCTGACACATGCTACCTCATGGATAAACCTTGAGGACATTATGGTAAATGAAATAAGCGGATACAAAAGAGCCAATGCTGTATCATTCCATTTATACAAGGTACCTAGAATAGTCAAATACACAGAAACAGAAAGCAGAAAGGTGGTGACCGAGAGCCAGGGGCAGGGAAGAAGGAGTTAGTGTTTAATGTGGACAGAGTTTCAGTTTGGGAAGGTGAAAGAGTTCTGGAGGCAGATGGAGGTGATGGTGGCTCAACAATGTGTCGGGCCGGCCCCGTGGCAGCGACGCTCCCGCCGCGGGTTCGGATCCTATATAAGGATGGCCGGTGCGCTCACTGGCTGAGCACGGTGCGGGCGACACCAAGCCAAGGGTTGCGATCCCCTTACCGGTCAAAAAAAAAAAAAAAAAAAAAAAAAAAAAAAAAAACAATGTGAAGGTCCTTAGTGCCACAGAACTGTGCATTTAAAAATGATAAAAATGGTAAATTTTATGTATATTTTACCATAATTTTCAAAATTAGAAAATAAATAAAGAAGAAATCACCAAAAAAACAATAAAAAGTGTGGTGGCATAGTCAAAGGAGGACGACTAGTTCAGGGACAGCAGGAGGGGAGGCTGGAAAGACAGTGGCCTTGGAGGAGGGCAGAGCCGGGTGCTGCCACGCGATGGGCCACGACACTGGCCCTGTCAGTCGCAGCACTGGACGGGGCCTGGGGCAGCTGGAGACGCAGCCTGTCCTGCTGTGTGCAGCAGCCTCTTCTATTTATTTGTTCAGCGCCATGCACAAGTATCAGTAACTTCTGTAATAGTGGTGAGTTCGTGCTGTGGCACAGAAAGGGTTAGGAGGCCCTGCGGCAGTGGACATTTGCTGTCTCTGCCTGCCTGGCCTTTGTTCCCCGCCTGGGAACAGAACCCCAATCTGTATGTCTTTCCCGCCATCAGCCCAAGAGGACTGTGGGGACTGATTTCACCCTTGACTCCAGGGTGGGACAAGAGACCAGGCCTGGCCAATCAGGGCATCAGATTCCCCCACCATCTGCAATTGGCTCAGAGGCAGACATGTGACCCAGGCCTGGCCAATCAGTGTATTTCACAAGCCCTAGTCACAGTGGTTGATTCAGAGTCAGATGCGTGACCCAGTTGGACCAAAGCATCTTGATCTCAAGGCTTCTGTAGTCCGTACGCCCTGCACACTGGGGTCACTAAGAAATAGGAGGTAAGAATGAAACTGCTCCTGGCCATCCCACTAGGTGAGGAAGAAGCTAGTCAGAGAATGGAGCCAAAACCAGGAAGCACAGGCAAGACATGGAGAAACTGACCAAATGCAGCTGCTCCCTCCTGACTGCCTGGATCCAGCCATGCCTGAAGCTCTACCCCGGGCTTTTCAATCATGTGAGGCAATAAATTTCCCTTAAAAAAATCAAGTTGAGGGCCGGCCCGGTGGCGCACTGGATAGTGCGCCGCTTGGGAAGCGCGGCGGCGCTCCCGCCCGAGGGTTTGGATCCCACATACGGACCGGTTCCCGCTCACTGGCTGAGCGAGGCGTGGGAGCAACACCGAGGGTTGCAATCCCGTTGCCGGTCCCCGGTCCGGTACGGGGGCAACACTGAGGGTTGCGATCCGTTGCCGGACACGGAAAAAGACAAAAAAAAAAAAAAAAAAAAAATCAAGTTGAGGTCTGATCACACGCAACCACATCCCACTTTTATACAATGTCATGTAAGCTGGGGTTGGGACATGGGACAATCCACATGGGCTGATGGTGGAAAAGATATAGGGATCAGGCATCTGTTCCCAGGAGGAAGGGATCCGATGCTAGGCAGGCAAAAAAGCAAACAGGATAAAGTACCTAATTATGGAGCTGCTACAGATGTCTGTGGAGGGAATAATAGAATTTAATCTGTGCATTAGGGAGATAACTCTGGTAGTAATGTGGAAGGTGACTCTGGAAGGACCAGTTCTGGAAGCAGGGACAGCAGTTAGTGGTTTCTGCAGAGGTCCAGGCAGGAGAAGATGGGGCATTGACAGGAGGGGCACATGGCTCTAAAAGTCCTTTTCTGTTGGCGTCCCCCTATCTCCCTGCCTATTTCTATGTGGAATGTGGGTCCTCCTCAGCATTAAGGAGCTGATCTAAACCCCAGGCTGGCCATATCCTTGCTGTAAAGCTCAGCGTTGATCTTGGCGAGGATGTGGGACCACTGGAGCATGCGCACAGACTCATCTTATCTACGGTGATGACGGGGCCAAAGAGCAGCAATTTCCCAGGGGGAACACAGGAGCTTTCTGGGGTGCCAGATATATTTTACATCTTTATCTGAGTGGTGGTTACAAGTGTTTCCATTGGGAAGATTTCATTAAGCTGAACACTTCATGAGTTATGTATTTTACTAGGCATACGTCAAGCCTCAGTAAAAATTTTTTTAAAACTTCATAGCTCTTGGGTCTACAATTCATATTACATCGCTTTAACCATAATAGCTAACATTTATTGAGCACTCATTAGGTCCTAGGCCCTACGCTAAGGTTTTTGTGTGCATTACATCACTGAAACCTCTCAGCAATACTATGAAGCAGGTACTATTAATATTCCCATTCTACAGATGCAAAAACCGCGGCAAGGATCACATGGCTAGTTGTGACCAGAGTCCAGGTTTGAGCCCAGGCTCCACAGCCTCTCTCGTGGCCTCACCAAGATGGTGCTGTGCTGGGGTAGCCTGGTAGGTTCTTGCCTTCCTCACCCAGGTTATTAAAACCCCCAAGGGCAAAGACAGGTCTTAAGAGATGTTTGCTGAGTGAGGGACGGTGGGTGGCCTGTGCACAACCCTGCAATGTATCCCACTGTGAGGCGAGGACCCAGCTCAGCAGCCTTCACGGTGGGGCCATAAAAGTCACACTACTGAGAGTCTTTGGAGAGAGGACAGTGGGCCTGGAGGATGCTCTGCTCCCCTGTCCCCCTCCCACATCATTTCCTGATTCAGCTGGCAGCCCCCCCAGCCCCAGGGATGGAGCCCCGGATGCCAGCTGCCTTACCGTGCCGGAATCCCAAATGTCATGTTTGGGGGGACAGAGGGTGGTTCCTTCTTCAGGCGCCGGTCATCCTGGTCACGGACATGGATGTTGTTGAGCTGACGGTAGAGGAAATTCTCCCGGGCAGTCACCAGGCCAGCTTTCACCGCCCCGCGGTTCATGGCAATGTAATTCCTGGTGAGCTCGTTGGAACGGGTGGGCTGCTGCTTATACACGTTCCAGTGTCCGATGGCTGAGGGTGGGGAGAGACAGAAGCACAGGGCAGTGGTCGGTCTGGCCATAAAGCACCCCTGGAGTCTCACTGAGAAGACATGGGGGACGTGTGGACCCTTTACCTTCCCATTAACCCAAGCCTGCTGGGGGACAGACCTTCCCGGCCCCTAGAAAGCATGACAGCTCCAAAAGGGAGGGATCAGGTTCCCAGAGGCTCCAGAGGGGGCCTGAGCACCTTTTGCAGAGCTGGGCTCGCCTGGCCCTGACCTCCTTTGGGCCATCAGAGGGTTGTCCCTGCTTCCGTCCTGTGCTCGCAGCTCAAACAGCATGGAGCACAGACAGTCCCTTCCTGGGAGTGCCCTTGCTATTTCTCTGACACCTCAGACCTGGACCCTGCTTGGTCCTCCGTGTCCTGGTCAAGCCCTGGGCTTTACCCCTGGCTGTCCAGACTTGTGCCAAGCAGCCAGCCCAGGCCGAGAGCTCTGTGAAGAGGAGTGAGCCTCCCGTCCCCTCCTCAGTCCCTCGTGCTCCAAAGCACACTCGCTCACCTTCGGGGACCCCTCCATCCAGCCCCCGGACGTAGAGTCCATAGTTAAAATGAACGCCGGGCAGACTGCAGCTTCTTTCCCGGGGCTTGCCGAGCTCCGCCTGTTGGGCGAAGGAGAGAGAGCCCAGGTGAGGGGCGGGACCGCAGGCTGCACGGGTGTGGATGGCAGCGCCTGCCCAGAGCAGCCGGGGACCCTGGCCACGTGTGCACGGTTGGAGAGCAGAGCGGCGCGCAGCCTGGCCGGGCAGCGGTGTGGCGGGGGACCCGGGCCCTGCCTGGCTGCAGCTGGTAATGAAGAGCTCAGTTTAGAAAGACTCATCCGGAGGCCACCGTGAGGGAGGGGCGTCTTTCCTACCTAGGCCTTCATTCTTCCCGGGATGACAGCTCAATCCATTGTCAATGCCGTGCAGGGGGATGTTGCTTCCTCCTGAAATCCTCACCTCAGTGTGGGGACACCATGACAGAGCCCACTGTCACCTGCTTGGCAGCTGGACAGCCATTCTTATGTTCTGGGTGTCTGATGAACTCCTTGACCTCCCAAAAAGGGCTCGTAGGAACGAAATTGCTCTATGATCAACCACATCGATCCCCCCATTTTAGAGATAGGGAAACTGAGACCTAGAGAGGCAGAGCCATTATCCACGGCCCCTAAGGGTTGGGGGCAGGATATCAAAGGCAGGTGTGTTCATCTCTGGGCTGGAGCTCTTGATGATTCTGCTACGCTGCCTCTCCTCAGAACAGCAGCAGCTCCCTGAGGCCAGAGGCCCCATCCTGCCCGGTGCTTAGACTCCATCATCTTCTTAATCACTGAGCTGAGTTCTGACTGCCCCAGATACAATACCCTGCACCTTCTCTCATTTGGTCCTCACAACTGCCTGGGGAGGCAGGGCCCAATACCATCCCCGTTTTTCAGATGGGGAAACTGAGGCCCAAGGAGGTCAAACAGGTTGCAGCTGGGCACAAAGTAGGAAGTGGCAGAGCTGGGATTTGAACCCAGGCTGTTTGTCTCTAGCCCACACTCAGATCCACATGCTAAATAAATACCCACAAACCCCACGTTTATGTGGCTCCCCGGTGCCGTCAGCCTGTCTGAGAAGGACATTACTGAGAAGGTCAGGGTGCAGTTGTTCCTCCAGCTGCCCATGGGCCACCAGCTGAGGACTTGAAGTTGCAAGATCTCCCTGCTCTGGCCTCACTGAAGACAGTGGAGAGGGTCTGGCAGGCTCTGACCTCACTCTGTCTCCTTCTGTCTTCTCATCTATGTCTCCATCTCTCCAGCCCCCGCAGATTGGGTGCACAGAGGTAGATAGATGGTCAGGGGTCACCAGTAAAGGCTCATCACTGCCTTTGGAATAAACCCCTCCCTGGGGCAGGCAGTCCAGGTCCTGCACCCTCTGACCACCCCCACCTCTGCAACTTTGCATCCCAGACTCCCCCATGCTGGCACTCTTTAGCCAACTAGCCCACTCCCCATCATCAGAAGGACCTGCAGGCATCCCAGCCTTCTCACCGTCTATGCTGTGCATCCTGGAATGCCCTTTGCTCTTGGCCTGTCCCTCCCCTTACTGGTCCTTACTCTTCAAGCTCTGCCTCTGCTGAAAGCTCTTTGGACCTCTTGGGCTCACGGTGGCCTCTCTCTCAACACCAGTAACTTTTATTATTTGTTCTGTTCATTTGGGGCTTTGAACTTGTCACCTTCTTGATTTCCATAAATGCACATTCTGGACCATCCTGCTTGGATTATAAATGCCTACACAGGCTTCTATTGCCTTCTATTTCCTGGTGGCACATAGCGGGTGCACAATAAATGCCTGAGATTAAAAACCTCTTCCTCTGGGAAGCCTTCCTGGACTTGGCATCAGTCCAGACAAGCCTCCTTGTCACATAGCAGCACCATAGTGCCCTGAGACCACCTTCAGGGTGCTTTCAAAATTATGTAGTAATACCTGCTACAGCACGGATGCACAGTGAAAGAAGCCAGACACAAAGGGCCACACACTGTCTGACTCTATTTACATGAAATGTCCCAAACAGGAAAGTCCATAGAGACAGAAAGTAGATTAGGGTTTGCCAGGGCTGAGGGCAGGGTATGGAGTGACTTGGGGGGTGATAGTTAAGCGGTGTTTCTTTTGGGGGTGATGTAAATGTTCTAAAGTTGATGGTGGTGATGATTGCTCAACATTGAATATACTAAAAGCCATGGAATGGTACACTTCAGATGGACCAATTATGTGGTATGTGAGTTATATCTCAAGTAAAGCCATTGAAAAATTACAAAGTAGTGTAATTAAGTCATTAATTACAAGATGATCAGTTTAATGTTTGTCTCCCCCCAGGAGACTGTGTGCTCTACAGGGGCAGGGCTCCAGTCTTTAGTTTTCATTTTTATGTTTTTAAAGGTTAATTTGTTTTTAGTTTTCTAAAAATAGACCGTTTTTTTAGAGCACTTTTAGGTTCACATCAAAATTGAGCAGAGGTGTGCAGATTTCTCATATACCTCCTGTCAGTCTTTATTTTTACCCCTCTTTGCCCAGGGCTGGTGTAGAACAGATGCTGGTAGATAGGGATTGGATGAATGAATGAATGAATGAATGAATGAATGAATGAAATGCCTACATCTTTGTCAGTTTGGGTTGCTATAGCAAATGGCCATAGACTGGGTGGCTTAAACAATAAACATTCATTTCTCATGGTTCTGGAGGCTAGAAGTCCAAGATCCAGGTACCAGCAGATCCGTGTCTGGTGGGGCCACGCTTCCTGGTTTGCAGGATACCTGGACACCTTCTCACTGTATCCTCAGGTGGCAGAGAACAGAGAGAGCCAGCTAGCTCTCTTCCCCTTCTCACAAGGGCACAGACCCCTTATCACGAGGGCTCCACCCTCATGACCTAACTACATCCCAAAGGCTCCATCTCTGACACTACCCCATTGGGGGTTAGGGTTTTAGCATATGAATTTGGGGGGACACAAACATGCAGTCCACACAGCCTACTTTGAGACTGTCAGTTCTTTTCTACACAGCAACTGATCGCTCTTCTTTCCCATCTCAAATTTTAGACCTTGACCTCCCTTGAGATTGACGGGGGTTTTGAGTTCCAGGTGGGGACACATGGGGCCTCTGCTGGGTGGTTTGTTTAGAATTCCTTCCACATGACTCACTCTGAGCTGCAGACAAAGCTCTGGCCTCTCATTTGTTTATGAAAATGATCTGGCCTCTCTGGTGACTACCGGGGAAGTTAATTAAAATGTGACTTCTCCGGGAGAGGCCCCATCTCCCTCAGGGCAAGTGCAGGTGGGCAGACTTCCAGCTGGCAGAGGAAGGACAGACAGACTCAGGAGCTGGCTGCCACCCTCAGGCGGGGGGCAGGGGAGCAGGCAGGCGCCTCAGTCTCTGTGCTTTCTAGCGCAACTAGAAATACAATAGCCGCCGAAGCACATGGAAGGCTTAGTCTGCAAAAAAATCATCCCAATGGGAGGTTCACTTCTACTTTCATCCCACAAATACTTATATTGCACCGACTCTGCACTGAGCCCTGTGCTGGGAGTTCTGAGATGAAGAGGGCAGACACAAAGCCCCTGCTCCTATGAAATTCAGGGTCTTGCAAAAAGGACAGTTAAGTAATCAGTCAAGTGCACCTGGTGATTTCAAGAGGGAAGCACAGAGTGCCCCTTACTCTTAAAATGTGATCCACAGAGTAAGAGACAATTTTGCACTATATACTTGAATATCTGAGAAAAGACTATTTTCCTTATATATAAAGAGCTGTTATAAATCAATAAGAAAAAGAGACGGTCCTATAGAAAAATCAGCAAAAGGCTTGAGTAGGAACTTTATTAAGAGAACATTCAAGTGGCCCAGACCCATATGCCCAGGTGCTCAGCCTCTGGAAATGCAAAGTAAAATCCTGGTGCTAACAGCAAGGATGTGGCGAAACTGGAATGCTCACGCACTTGGTGAGAGTGTAGACTGGTACTACCACTGTGGAAAATTGTTTGGAATCTATTAAAGCTAAACATGTGCCTACCCTACAACCCAATAATTCCCTCTTGGACACACAACAGAAATTAATATGTATGTTCACCCAAAAACATGCCTAAGAATGCTCATAACAGCTCAGTTGATGATAACCAAGTACTGGAAACAACCCAAATGGCTATCATAGGTGGATAAAAAAGTTGTGATATATTCATACCACAGAATACTCTATACCAGTGGTCTTCATCCAGGGCTGATTTTGTCCCCTAGAGTACACTTGGCCATGTCTGGACACATTTTTGGTTGTCACAACTTGGGAGGGAGTACTGTACTCCATCTAGTGGGTAGAGGCCAGGCGTGCTGCTAAGCAACCTACACTGCACAAGACAGCCCCATGACACACACCACAGTGGTCTGTCCCCAAGTGCCAACAGTGCCAACCAAGATTGAGAAACCCTGAGAATGAAAGAAAACGCGGTGGCAACCACATGGGGGTCCTCACACCACGTGTGGCATGAAGGAAGCCAGCTGGACGCAATAGGCTCTGCCCCCCGTGGGGACGCTCAGACGTGAGCATAACATCTCTGGCTTTAGAAGTCGGGAGCACAGGTCCCCGGGTGGGGGCAACTGAAAGCAGCACAGGGGGCATCAGGGGCGCTGGCCATGATGTTCCTCGACCTGATGTGGGTGCTCTTCCCACCATGTGGTCCTGCCCACTGCCCCCTTCAGAACACGTTCATCTGTGACTGCGGCCACCAGTCCTGTCCCTCCGACATGCTGAAAGAGCAATGGCTCCCTGTACCCATCTGGGAGACCCAACTGCATCCACGAACTGCATGAGCACAGGCAGAAGGGGGACAGCAACAGCAACGAGACACTTTTCTGTCTCCCAGGGGGTTCTCTGCACTGTTTCCACGACTGGGGACTCACGTCCTGCAGTCCCTGAGAAGGCAGTGCTGGTTTTCTCATTTCCTCAGACTCTTCCAGACTGGAGTGTTGCCCGGTGGGATGAAGCAGAACTTCCCAAGAATTCAGGAAAGCAGATCCGGCCACGCAGAAAAACACCATCGACTCCTTAGCCTTCTGCCCCGACCACTGGACTTCCTTCCCTCTCAGGTGGGTTAC